TGTCCCCTGGGTGTCCCCTCGCTGTCCCCAGGATATTCCTGGGTGTCCCCTGCATGTCTCTGGATGTCCCTGGATGTCCCCTGGGTATCCCTGAGTATCCCCTGAGTGTCCCCTGGGTGTCCCTGGGTGTCCTTGGGTGTCTCTGAATGTCCCTGGGTGTTCCATGGGTGTTCCCTGAGTGCCCCCTGGGTGTCCCTGGGTGTCCCCTCGCTCTCCCCAGGATATTCCTGGGTGTCTCTGGATGTCCCTGGGTGTCTTTGGGTGTTCCCTGGGTGTCCCTGAGTATCCCCTGAGTGTCCCTGGGTGTCCTCAGGATGTCCCTGGATGTCCCTCGGTGTCCCCTCGATGTCCCCAGGATATTCCTGGGTGTCCCTGGGTGTCCCCTCGGTGTCCCTGGATGTCCCCTGGGTGTCCCCAACCACCCCAAAACCTTCTCCATGAAGGAGCCCCCAAAGCTCACAGGGTGACCCCGCAGCCCCTTCTCTGCACAAATCAGGGTCGTGGTTCCCGAAATCTCCTTTTCCCTGGAAACCACAGCAGGAACAGAGCCCAAAGCCCCTCTTGGAAAAAATTCTTTAGGAACTCGCTTCCCTAAAGCCCCTTGTGGTTTTTTATTTTATGTTAATTTTTTAATTTTTTTTTGGTTTTTTTTTGTTTGTTGTTGTTTTGTTGGTTTTCATTTGAACTTGCTTCCCTGAAGCCAAAAAAAGAGCTCCTTTTAAAAATTTTTATTTTGATATTTTTATTGTTCCTTTTGTCTTCATTTTAATTTTTACTTCTTTTTCTTTTCACTTTAAATGTTTATTTCAATTTATTATTATATTTACATTTGCATTTACATTTATGTTTACATTTACATTTATACTTACATTTACATTTACATTTATATTTATATTTACATTTATATTTACATTTACATTTATATTTATATTTATAATTATATTTACATTTACATTTATATTTACATTACTATTTCTATTTATATTTCTATTTACATTACTATTTCTATTTCCATTTCTATTTAAATTTATCTTTATTTTTACATTTATATTTATTTTTACATTCACATTTATTTTTACATTCACATTTATTTTTACATTCACATTTATTTTATATTTACATTTACATTTATATTTACATTTACATTTATATTTACATTTACATTTATTTTTACATTCACATTTATTTTATATTTACATTTACATTTATATTTACATTTACATTTATATTTACATTTA